GGGGGGGGGGGGGGGGGCGCCATGGCGTCCGGCAGCAGGAAGTGTCCCCCCAAACGGGGAAACGAGGTCTGAGAACCGTCTGACTTTGTCCTAAAGAGGAGATCAAAAACTGTTTTTGAGGCCTTGGTGAAAAGTGAAGGCACTTTTAACATTATTTAAGTCTATTGCCTTTTTCTTTTCAGAGACTCTGATGTTTAAATTAGAGATGAGGTCATATTTATCAGAATAAACTGAAATCAAAGCCTGGACTGAAAGTTAAATCTGATCAGACTTTGATTCAGTGATTGATTGACCTGGTTTTCTGTTTTTAAACATTTAATATGAACCTTTACTTCCAAACAGCCAGTTTTCTCCTGAGCCAGATCCTGAGTTTCCTCACAGACAGTTTAAAGTTTAAAACTTTAATATTAACAGTTTAAATTTGACTTCCTGCTTTCATCCACAGGCTGCAGAATAAGGGATGCTGTATTTAAGCTGATGGTTTGTTTGCTGGTGTTTTTTTTCTGGGGGAGGAGATATGACAAATATTTATTTTTTAAATTAAATTATCTAAAAAAAATCTGTTTTCCGTTGTGTTTGTGTTGAAACGGTTTAACAGGGAAGAGATGAAAAGAGAGGAAATGTGACTTATGCTGGGTAAAAAATAGGTATAAAATAACCACAAAGAGAAGGAATATGATCTTGTGATATTATCTAATGTGAAAATTAGATAAAAACACAGCAAAAAAAAGCAAAAAATGACCAAGAGAGAGGACATATGATTAATTTTGACCAGAATAAGTAATCCCAAAGAGGCTGGGTCTCTCACAAAAATAAGGTCAAAGGTCAAAAGTCCCTCATAAGAACCTAAAAGAGAAGCTAGCTTAGCCAATGAGAGCACCTAAAGAGGAAAAGCCCCCCCCCCGGGATGGAGCTGACCACTCACCTGGGGCGCGCGTGGGCTCGGGCCTGATATAGCCTCACACCTGACAGCGCGTGAGCACGCGCGCGCGCACGCGCACCAGTTGCGTGAACGCAACAGTTGTCGGCTAATAATAACACCCGCTGGCCCTTTAAGAGGGCGCGCGAGGGGAAACCAGATCTCTCCCCACTCTGAGGCCAGTTTCCATCCACCGGCAAACGGACTGGACCGTGACGGGGTCCGTGGATCTCTTCTAATCCCCCCCCAAAAAACCCCACGCTGCCTCCGTCCACGCGCGCCGTGCACGCGGATTAAATTACGCGCTGCGCCTTTAAGGAGGATTAGCGCCTTTACGCACGGCCGGCCGGGTCCGGAGCGCCTTTACGCACCTCACCGGGGACCGGAGCAACCACCGGAGCCTGACCGGAGCCATGGCCGAGATAGGGAAGGGGGTCACCGCCGGGAAGCTGGCCAGCAACGTCCAGAAGCGGCTGACCAGAGCCCAGGAGAAGGTAGGAGGCCCTGAAACCGGATCCCGGACATCGCCCTGGAAACCGGGCCGGAGGGGAGAAGTCACCCGGCTGCTACTCTTTATTATTATCCAGAGTTTTCACAGCTTCAGGTGGTAGAAAAATTGGAAAAAAATGTTCCTAAACCAGGCTTGACCTTTGACCTTATTGGTAGGATTTCGTTTGAGGGAGAGTTATCTCTCAGATGTTTTTTTTCATGATATATTTGGTAAGAAATCGAAAAGAAAAAGCTGAAACCGGGCCGGTGGGGAGAAGTCACCAAGTCTACTTTCTACCAGAGTTTTCAGAGCTTCAGCTGGCAGAAAAAAATAAATAAAAAGGTTCCTAAACCAGGCTTGACCTTTGACCTTATTGGTAGGATTTCGTTTGAGGGAGAGTTATCTCTCAGATGGTTTTTGTCGTGATATATTTGGTAAGAAATCGAAAAGAAAAAGCTGAAAACGGAGCGGTTTTTGGCTCCGGAGCAGCTGAGAATGTCCGGTAAGGGAAACCCGAAGAGGGGAAAGTGTCACAGAGTTTGTAAATATTTTAAGATGCTTTAGAGGAGTTTTGATGGCCCCTTTTGGTTTAACGTGGGTCTGTGTTCTGGGGCCCAGGGGCCCAGACCGGATCGGCTGGAGGAGGAAGCAGAAAAGGGTCTGGAGGGTTTCAGGCAGCCAATCGGGGACTTTTACCTGTCAGCTTTTGATCAAACTGGCCTTCTGGAGGATCAATACATGAGAAAAAAAACCTGTAAACAGATGACAAAAGCCAGTAAAGTCATTAGGGACTGGAGTCCTGTCCAGTTTTTGGACGTGGGGGTAGAAAGTGAACGTCAGGAGGAGAGAAAAGAGCAGATCTCTGTGTGTTTGGCTGTGAGTTATTATTGTCTGGCCTAATCAGCCTCCTGCTTAAGCCTGCTGAGGTCTTACCCCCTAATCACCTCACTGCCCCACCAGGAGTGCTGTCACTCAGTCAGGATGAGTCCCGGTCCTGTTCTCCACCCCACAGCCCTCTGGACCCTCTCAGGACCGGGTCTCTGCTGGGTTTCAGCCTCCAGCTGCTTCTGTCCCACAGGTTAAGACTCAGAAGAGTCCATGTCCCATTAAAGGCCCCCCTCCTCTCATTCCTGGCTGGTTGTGCCGATGCTTTAAGGCCCGTTTAGCCTCCGTTTTTTACCCTATAATCCCAAATGTATCATATCTGATTCATACGCTTTCTGAAGTCTTTTGGATCTGAGACTTTCTGCATCATTCAGTGGTAAAAGCTTTGCTCAAAACCCCTGTTGTACACATTCAGATATACCTGATAACAGCCAGTAGAAGACTAATTGCACGCTAATTTGATCAAAATAATTTCTGTACTTTTTTCTTCATATGTTGTTGAGGGGCCAAAGAAAGACTTCACACTAAAAAAATTTCCAATATTCTTCTTATTTTTCTTGGATCAGGCTTTAAAGGGTTAAGGCCCGTTTAGCCTCCGTTTTAAGGCCCATTTTGCCTCTGTTTTAAGGCCCGTTTTGCATCTGTTTTAAGGCCGTTTTGCGACTGTTTTAAGGCCCGTTTTGCTTCCGTTTTAAGGCCGTTTAGCCTCCGTTTTAAGGCCCTTTTTGCGTCTGTTTTAAGGCCCGTTTTGCCTCCGTTTTTAGGGCCAGACCGGTTAAATCTGGACAGGTGATTCCCATTCCCTGTTCCCATTTTGGCCCGTTTTCCTGGGCGTGTGGATACGTTTTGTCCGGTGGTTTCGGGCCTTCTGTCTGAGGATCTGTCTCAGGGTTGAGGCTCAGAGTCGTGTTTTGCTGGAGTGAAATTTCAGGAGGGCGCGTTGTTCCGCTCCTCGTCAGACTGAACTTTACCCAGCAGCTGCCTCTGTGGGACTCCTGTCTGAGCCATGCAAAGGAACGTTACCACATTTAGAAGCCAAAAGGAGATTTAGGAATGGTTAGAATGAGTAAGAATGAAGATGAACCACTCAGAGGATCGGACTGTGTGTTATTTCAAAAGGAAACTTGAGTTCTTTCTCAATTTATATGTTAAATCTGGTTTTCTTATTATCAAGAAATGTTCCTGCTCAGGTTTAGATTTGTTATTTATGACTGTTTTATGTGTATTTTCATTCTGAGGTGGTTCTAAAATGAGGAATATGAATTAACTGGACTGTGCTGGTTGGACCAGGCAGTTGGGAGCTTTGTGGGAACCGGAAGCTAAAGTGGGCGGTTGATATAAAACTGTGCTGCATTTCAACTAAAAAAACATTTAAATTGAGAAAAATCTTTTCTTTTTATTTCTTTGCGGCATCAATTTGTTGCAAACCTTCCTCGTGATCTTTCAAAATCTTCTGGTATTTTGATTTAAAACATTTAAGTGAATGAGAAATTATGTTTGAGCTGGAAAAAGAACCCGAAATGAACTTGACAACTATCAATAAACACAGAATAAATGTATTTTAACGTGGTTTTTAGAGAATTAAAGGACTAGAATTGAAGGGTTTGTGTCTCAGGTCTCCAGAGAAGCATCTCTGATTAGCTTCTGGGGCCCGGCATTGGGAGTAAAGGCGAAAAGGGGAAGGTCAGAGTATCATCTTGCTGGTGAAGGCCGGGGGGGGGGGGGGGGGGGGGGG